CGCTCTCTTCTCCGACTGCCCCCCCTCGCCCGCCGGCGCCGCTCTTCTTCGACTGCCCCATGTAAAAATTCACGTTCATTTTTAATATATTTATTTAATATATTTAATAATAATATTTATTTAATTTATTTAATATTATTATTTATTCAATATATTATTAATTTAAATATTATTTCATGTTTTCAAAAATTAAACCACCAAACGCAGTTTCAGTTTTTTTTTAAAACTGAAATCAATCTCTGAATAAACTACCAAACGCATTTCAGAAATAATTCCAAAATGAAAATGAAAACGTTTTCATTTTCTATTTTCATACAGAAAACAAAATCATTTTAGAAACAATTCTAAACGCACCCTATATGTTCCATCAAATATTTGGAGAGTCACTTTACCAGGTGGGAATCGCGCCACATTCAACAAATTTATTTTTATTCTTAATATTTTTTAAAAAATAGTTGTATAATTTTAATATTTATAGTTTTATCTCACTCAATAACTAAAATATGTAATTATGTTTTTATTTAATAAAATGATAAATGATTAACTTTATGAATATTCTTTAACTAATGAAAAAAAGAGATAAATATCCTTTTAAATTACATGAGTTTTAATATTTATCCCTTAATTAATATATCTTAGTTGTTTTAAATTAATATAGTATTTAATTAAAATGATATTAATCAAGATAAAAATTAAGAATAATAGATAAGGTGATTTTACATTTATAAGAAATTTTGCTGGAAACAAAGTGTGAAATTCTGTGGCGGTATTTATCAAATGAAACACACCAAAAGACAAAAATACCATGTAAAATATATGTCTAAAAACCATAAATTTCGTCGGATTTGTATGTTATACATTAAAAATTACATATTATAATAAATTAAAAATTACGATCATAAACTAAGTTTCAAAACAAACGGAAGATTATTACACTGTACAGTGATTCCAAAGTCCCTTTCTTATACTTTTAAAATAGAAGATTATTGCACTACACACCATTCGTGGTCGGTGATTATAGTTCTAAGGAAGTGAGGTTAAACGTGCGTGGGCATTTTGATTACCCGCATAAATTGATTTTTTCTTCCTTGTACGATGAAAACGCCAAATTGATTTTTCTTCCCTTGCCCTTTTTTATTTTCACTATATTTTTCTTTTTCCTCTGACAAAGGCACTATTGCCTTTTTTCTTATATATAAAATTTTTGGGTGTGAAATTAATTTTAAAATGATTTTATTTTTTGTATAAAAATAAAAATAAAAACGTTTTTAATTTCAGGTAAAAATTATTTTTAAAAGTGTGTTTGATAATTTTATTAAGAGATTATTTTCAGTATAAAAAAATTAAAACTCCATTTAATTATGTATTTTTAAAAACATATAATAGTATTTTAAAAAATATATTAAATAATTTAACAGCTTATTATTTATCAATTATATAAATATCTAATAGTATTTTAACAACTTTTTTATACTTTTAAATTCTAACTTTTCAATATTTTAACTGCAGTTGAGAGAAAAGAAAAGAAAATAAAAATAAAAATAGTTAAAAATCATTTTTATTTTTTATCTTATTTTACGTAAAAAAGTCAAGACTGTTTTTATTAGGGGTGGTAATTCGTGTCACGTATCGTGTTCGTATCGTGTTTTGATCATTTTTTTAAAATTTACAGTCAACCCGAACACGACCCGTGACACGAAATTTTTTAAAAACCGCAACACGAACACGACATGACCACTTTACGAGTTGACACGACACGACCCAAAAATGACCCGTGACACGAAATTGACCCGTGAATCCGAAATTGACACGAAAATTATATACTTTTATTTAGTTTTTTACATATTAGAAATAACTTAAAATTCATAACACACTAATTACAATAACATCAATTGAAATTAAGCAAATAATAGTATAAGATTTTGAGTATAACTATTATGATATCACAAGTTCATAATAAAATTTAAAATATGTAATGAAAAATATATGTATTTTTTAGTTTTTTACGAGTTTCGTGTCGTGTTCGGGTTAGGCGGGTCCAACCCAAAATTAACCCGTATTTTTCGTGTTAATTTCATGTCGACCCAATTCTGACCCGAACATCTTTTTTCTCAACTCTAAACTGTAAAATTTATATCATTTTTGAGTCATATCATTGTGTCGTCGTATCGTGACCTATATTATCGATCCTAATTTTTATTTCTATTTTTTGTAATCGGCTGCTTTAAATATGTTTTTTTTTTATTTTTATTTTTTTCTCGATAAATGTGAAAAAGGGCAAAAAAAGGCATTCCAAACAACCACTTTCGTTTTCATAATTTCTCTTCTCAAATTTTGCGTCCAAGTTAGAGCAGTGAGTGTGGACCGGATCCTTTTTAGAAGAGAGAATGTATGATGTCACCTCTATCATCTGTTTGACCAGTAAAATGTGGACACATCAATCAAAAGACAGACACGCATAATGCTGTCACGTAATCACATCAAAAGCATTTATCACTTTATTTCTCACTCGTTTAACGCATTACACTCCATTAATATAATATATTATTATTAAAATAAAAATAAGATAATAAAAATTACATGTTAAGCAGTAACTAGGGATAAAAAAATAAAAAAAGTAGTGATGTTAGTATTTTTTAAAAGTATTTAAAGTTGTTAAGCATATTCTTATTTTTTCTTTTCCAAATTCAACTAGCGAACAAATTATGGAAACTAACTTTCCTACTAGGTGATATTGAATTATTGAAGCAAGATAGTGCAATTAGCTGTCATAATCAATCAATTTATAGTATAATAATGTTGCCGTAGAAATTGCTTAGCAAAAGTACTAAGTTCAGTGCTTCAACGAATTTAACCGGTGAAGATTTAGTTTATAAATTTAGAATCATGATTCATAATTATTCTCAATTTACATATATTTTTTGTGAGATAAAACATTGTAACGAGCCACGAACTATGATCCGAATCATGACACGAATCCACCAACCAAACGCAAACAATTCAGAACCATACTATCTCTGCATGTATGTGACATCTGTTGGAGAATTTGAGTGTAAATGATGAAAATAATGCAAAAAATAAGAGTTTGAGACGTATATATATACTTTCTTTTAAAATTTTATTTGCACTCACTTCTTAAAGTTTGTTAATGAGTTTCTATTGCAAATTACCCTCAAGATACAACAAAACCTTAAACACAATATCTAATAATAATATTGTGTTTCAGAATATGGATAAAGTCTGTAACTTTTTTAGATAATTAAAAAAAATAGATGTGTCATTTCATAAATGAACACATCATCTTCAAATATCACAACAATTCACATAAAGGTACATTTTTAATGTAAATGTATCTTTTCATGGATTAATACATCTATTATAACAGTTATATCTATTGCTAATAGATGTTCAAATATGTGTGAAAACATATCACCAATGGATATAATGGTTCGAAATGTTTCAGATAACAAATCACACACAGAACAAGTTTTTTCTACATAAAACCCGCTGCAGCGAATGTTTTATCCGATGCAGTGAGTTTGGCAGCAAAACTGCTACAGTGGAGGCTAGTGCTGGAACTTTGGACGGGCCGCCCGCGACCGCCCGAAAAGCCCGAGGATTTGCCCGAGCCCGAACCCGACCCGCCCGAGATTTTCGGGCCGCCCGCCCAAGCCTGAATTTCACCTTGAACGGGCCGCGGACTTGTATTCTTTATATATATATTAGTATTACAATTTATATATATATATATATTATATTTATATATATATTACAATTTGAAATGAACACACGAACTCGGGTTTTCGGGCATAATTCGGGTAAAAATTCAAAAAATAGCCGTTTTTGGGTTTTCGGGCAATTCAGGCAACTCGGGTTTTCGGGCAAAATTTAAAAAACTAGCCGTTTCGGGTATTCGGGCACCTCGGGCGGGTCGGGCAATTCGGACAGGCGGGAAAAATTCGGGCTTCGGGTCGGGCAATTCGGGCACACCCAATTTTCGGGTCGGGCAGTTCGGGCTTGGTCGGAAAAGTTCAAAAAAATCCCGGCGGACGGCGGTATACGGTGGTTAGAACTTAGACGGCGGCGGACAAGGGTGGACATGTCAAATTCGGGCTGCCCGAGTCCGAACCCGAATTTCTTGCTTGGGCGGGCAGGAATTGGGCTGGCCCGCCCGAGCCTAAAAAAATTCAGGCTTCGAGCGGCCCGCCGACCCGAAGTTCCAGCAGAGGTACTGCTAAATGGGCGATGCAACGGGTTTGGCAGCGTAAACAACACTAAATAGTGTTGTTTTATCCGTCGCAACACAATAAACATGCGCTGCAGTAGGTTTTTTCTTTTTTAAATTATTAATACGTGTATTTTAACGGTCTAAAAAATATATGATCTAAATTGAGAAACATATTAGAGAAATTCTCTAACAAGATTCCCACGTCGACTGCACTGAATTTGACTAATTATATAAACTCGTAATGCGTTTTGGTCCTTTTTCATTTAATAAGGGATTAAATTCACGCGTTTTCAAATCAAATCCTCACTCTACTACATTTTCATGTCGTATGACAGTGATCATCCACTTTTTAGCATTCTCTTTTGGTTGAAATAAAATAATGAGCATTAATAGCATTTAGTACCATTACTTATAGTTGGTGAGTCTCGCACCAGTGTTTAGTACCGCCGCATATTTAATGTAAATAATAATAGGGCATACCAATACTAATTAGTGGCGTCAACAACCAATAATACGGCTCTTTTAATTCTTTTCAATCTTTCCTCACTGCACAAAATACATTAATCAATGCCATAAAAAAAATGCATTAGTCAATAATTTAAGGATCCTTGTCCAAATTTCTTATATGCATGGAAATAAAACATCACAACACCACGACGACAACATAAAATAAAAAACGACACAAACCGGAAACGCCGCACACAAATACATAGAAAAGAGCGTCAAGCCGTCCACACAAATGAAAAACACGACTCATCTGAATATTTAGAAAATACTTAGGTGCACCGGTGATAAACACCATTACTGATATAAAATGGGTTTACTAATGTAAAATGGTTTCATCTATGAATCTCATATTTAATTCTCATTTTTTATTAATTGATTTTTGTTTAGCATCACCGGTGGATTTATATCTAAACTACTCTTTCTTTGATGACTTGAAAGCCTGGTTTCTGAGTTCAACAACCTTGGTCCAAGATGGCCTTGAAGTGATGTCATCCACCCAAGCGTTGACACGTGGACGGGACTCAAACAGCTTCTTGGCACTGGAGCCCAACAAGTACTGGATAGTTGGGAGGTGGTGAAGATCGGCCAAAGTGAAGGAATCACCGCCCAAGTATCTGGACTGTGAAAGCCTTTCCTCGTACACATCAAGAACTTTCTCGAACTTGGGTTCATATTCCGCTACCACTGAATGGTCCGTTTCCAGGCCCAGAATCACGGGCTTCACGGTGAGCTCGTAGTTCAGTTTCTGGGCATTTGGGTCGAAATGGTGGGCCTCAACTTCGATCCATAGATTCGCAACGGCCTGCTTCTTTGGGTCCGAGAATTCCAGCGATGTTCCCTTGTCGGCGTATTGTTGGGATATGTATCTCGTGATTGCCCTTGATTCTGTATTTATTTTTTAATAAAATTATTAAGTGGCGAAAGTATAACTTAAAAAACAAACAAAATTAGAAGTGGAGGAGATTTTTAATTTCTTACCAAATAGCTTTAGATCTCCATCCTCAAAAGCTGGTACTTGACCAAACGGCTGTATAAAGAAAAAAACAACATATTGAAATTAATAAATATATATAAATGTACTTTTAATGACAACGTGTGTAAAAACCACTTGTATTATAAGATCTCATTTATTTTATCAATTTAAATTTAAAATTTGAGTTTTATTACAGTAAAAAAACTCGTTAAAACATTCACAGTTAATTTTTTTATTACAGTAAAAAATTCTCACATAAAATTATATCTCAACTCAAATTAAAAATTTAAATCAAAAAACTAAACAAACCTGAGAAAAATATCCTAGTAATATAGTATTTTTAATATTATGTCCATTTTTTTAATTTTTTTTATCCAATTTTAATCTTAGATCTATGTTTAAAAAACACCAAAAAATAACATTCTAGCAAAAGCACCCCCAAAAATAAAAGAACAGTCTTGCAAACAAGAGAAATGTAAGATTACTACGAACTAAATTTAATTTATTTAAACGAAGATCTAAAAGTTTAAAACATAGCGTCCTTACGTTGCGAGAAATGTAAGATTCCTTTTTGTGCTCGCCGGTGATCATGTCGACGTGAACAAGCTCATAATCAAGGCCCTTTTCGTGGAGGGTAGCCAAGACGCGCGCTGCAGCGGTGGAGTATGCGGCTCCGTAGACTTTAATGGCGGCCATAATGTTTGGGTTGCAGAATTTTGGTTGGAAAGTAAAACTGAATAAATTAGCGATGGAGAAAGGAAATGTCTTTTTTTTTTTTTTCTTAATGTATTGAATGTGATAGGCTTAGAAGGTCTGGTATTTATAATACTGCTACCTGATTTGGGAAACTGTTAGAAGGCCAATGGGAAAACGTGTTATTGATTTTTTTCAGTTTTTTTTTTTTTTTTTTTTTTTTTTTTTTTTTTTTTTTTTTTTGGGGACAGTGGTGTGTGGTCCGTCGAATTTAATGGGAACATTCATGGAGACCTGATTACGTATTCGCTGACTCTAAAAATATCGTTTGGAAAGAAAAATTATTTTGGTTCATAATTTATGTGAGGTTTGGATGGGTCTTTGTCAGAATTCCTCAAAAAGGAAGGAAATAAATTAGGGAAAAAAAAAAGGTCATTTTCACAAAAGAAAGAAAAAAGATAAGATCCAAGTCACGGGTTCCTCGGATTCACACACGTCGTAGAGGATTGTTAGCAATGGGGCCAATTAAACCTTGATTTTTTTATGTTTCATGATTCTTCTCGTCACAAAATTAAAATAAAAAATAAAACGTTAGAGAATAATAATATCCTAAATCTTTAGATTTTTAAATCAACTTTTATTGATTATCTCTCCACTATTTAATTATAACAAGAAAAAACTTCTTAATAAATAATCTTCAAAGAAGAAGTATCTCAGTAAAACCTTTTTACTAATAAGGCCATAGTTAGATTTAGTTAAAATTATATTAAATTAAAATTTTAAAAATTAAATAATTAAATAATTTTTAATACAGTATGAATTTAAGTAATTTATTTTTTTGACACTCCAAAAATAAAACCAATTACTTCTAAAATACACAGCGAAATATGCACATTAAAAAGAGTTGTAAAGCGTGCGCATATATATTTGTTTATACATCTGAAGCAAATTCTCTAGCCAACGACTCTATTTAAAGGTTTGTCTCATTGTTTGGTAGATTGAATTTTGACACACGTTCATCGTGTGTGTGTGTATTTTTTTTTTTTTTTGGGGGGGCTAATACAATAAATTATCATTTAAAAGGAAAAAAAAAAAAAAACTGTCTGCAGATTTCTTTGTTTGCCCCCCCTTTTTTTTATTTTTTATTTTTTTGCTGCTTTGTCTATAGTCTTGTAGATTAACCTCACATGGCATGTCTCGACTTTATTTATGTCCGTTCTTGTTCAATGTGATTATGTGACTGCAACAAATCTAATCGTTCTATGAACTTTATATCCTTTATAAAAGGGAGTGCCACTCCCATCCACTTTTCTTTTCCACTTGTTTCTATTTTATAAATTCATTTATTTTAGAGACTATCTATAATTCTCTCATTTTTAATTGTTAAATTTGTATAAAAAATTATTTATTTTACATATTTTTTTTATTTTAATATGATTTTAATTAGATTTAACAGTTAAAAATTAACTCTACCTATAGAAAGACCTTATCGAAAAAAAAATCTGATAAAGTCCCTTTCCTTTAAACGAAAGAGGATTAACAATTCTCTTTCAAAATTCTTTAGTAAAGAAAAATTCTATAAAAAGCATAATTATAATGATATTTAACAATTTAAAGCAAGTACTTTGGTATGATTTCCTTTATAAAAAAAAAAAAAAAATATCACACTTTTTCTCTCTTTTGATATATATGTCCCCCTTCTTCCTCTTTCTCTCTCATGCACACAAAAAAAAAAAAAAAAAACATTCCTCTCTTTAAAAAAATTATCTTTTTGGTGGAGAAGGCTTTTTTAATCCACTAGTAAAAAATAGTCTTTATTAACTGTCAAATTTGTGTATATTTGCATACAAAACAAAACTGCTTTTGCTGTAGATAATAACACCTTTGAAAAACTAATTTAAGGGCCAAAACAAAGTTTCCATCAATGGAGCAAAATAGTATTATCTACCGTAAATGTATCCAGCAAAAAATATATATACATCATTTTGGTACCGTGTTATATCAAAATATATGTTTGATAACCTATGTTTTTTATAATTTCATACAGGTACCTCAACATTTTAAAAAATAATTTTTTGGTATCCTAGGGCAGTTTTTTAGGACATGAAATCTCATTTATATCATTTACTTAATTTATTCAGATTTTTTAAAAAACATATTAATAATATTTTACAAAATCTTAAAATAAAAAATTAACAATCTCAATTTTTAATATATTTAAAGTATTTTTTTAAATTATATCTAAAAAACGTTAGTTCTTGATTAATTAATAATAAGGGTAAATTTGACATTTTAAATCCTAAAAAACTATCTTAAAGTATCAAAAAAAAAAACTATTTTATAAAACCTCGAGCTACCTAAAATTATAAAAACCACATAATACTAAATGTATATTTTGATACAACACACAATATCAAAATGATTTTTATTAAAAAAAAAAAAAAAAAAAAAAAGCTCTCTCCACATCAAGTTTGAGTATCCACTGGAGGCTGGGCAGTCTGTATGTGCATGGGCTTACTTTCTCAGTTAACTGCATCTTGCAATTGGGTGAGACAGATATGATAAATTAAAAGAGAAGAGTTCAGCTAGTTGGATTTTACTACAGTACGGCGAATCCTGTTTTTTATTTTTATTTTTGTTAAAGGGATGTAAACCGTGATTTTGACAAAAAAAAAAAAAAAAAAAAAAGAAAAGGTAAGGCTGTGCTGAAAGGGTGGTGGTGTGTCAAAATATATGAGTCGTTTCCTTTGCTTAATATCAGTTCCGTCTTTGTTTCCAAAATGATGTCGGGTTTAGCGCTGGTGTCATTTTTTGGTTCATTGTCGTTTTCTTATTGTCGTGTTTATATTTATTTTAGTTGACGAATAGTCGTCTGTTATATTCATGTCATTTTACGGGTTACAGTCATTCTTCTTGTTGTTCTCGTTTATTCTTGTAACTAGTATGGTATTGTACCTACCGCATTTTGTTAGTTTTTTATTTTTTTTTAAGAAAGAAAATCTTTCAGGTAAAGAACTTTAATGAAGAGAAAAATAGAGAAAATAATAAATTAATGAGAAAATTTTAGAAATTACAATTGTTTTTCTGAAAAACTAGAAGTTGAGGTAATGAAATATCAAAACATGAAAAATGAAGAAATTTAACAAAAGAATATTTAGTCAAAAAAATATTTATTAGAAGCATATTGTCAAATATATTATTTTAGAGGATGGAGTGAAAAAATATTTAATTTGAGACATATTTGAAAAAAAAAAGAATTTTAATAGGCAAATTCGAGTCAAAATTTTCATTATAAGAAAGCATACCAAATACAAGATTTCTTTTTTTTTTTCAAAAAAAAAAAAAAAAAAAAAAACCTAAAAGCTAAGCAGCCAACAAGTAAGGTGAAATGGAAAAACTATTCAAGCTATTCTCCCTTCTTATAGGTAAACAAAGGAAAAAAAAAGTAGAAGTGTTGAGTGTGAGAAAATAAATGAGGCATGTGAATTAAATTTGTACCAATAGAATTGAAATAAGTGGAAAGAGAGTACAAGTTAACCATTAGATTAGGTTCAATCAAAGATTGAAGTAAAAAAGTCATCATTCAGTTTACAGTCGATTCTCGTGTTACTGTTGTTTGCCGTTTTTCAAGTTGATGTCGTATTTAGGTTACTGTGTTTTCTTATAGTGTGTAGTTGTTAATTTAATGTTGTTTTCCAAATGAAATCGGTTTATGAAGAATGGTCGCTTGATATATTTATGTCATTTCACGTTTTTTTTTCTTTTTTTTCGTTTTTTCTTGTTCCATAAAATGGCGTTGAATTGGGAGTTTACGTGTGCTACTGTCTTTTCTTTTGTTGATCTTGTCTTTTAGGTTACTATCATTTCTTTTATTGATTAACGATGTCCATTTGATAAAATTGTTTCACTCGCAACTTTGTTGTTGTTTCCAAAAGATGTCATTTTAGACGTTATTTTAGTTTCTTGTATTGATGTCGTTTTTTGGTTTATTGTCGTTAACAACGTTGGTTAAATTGTTGCCGTTTGCTATTCGTTGATTATATTGATATCATTTACCATCCTTCTTTATACTGATGTTGCTCATCAATATAACCAGCGATAGTAAATTCAATTAAAAATGATGTCGTTTTTTGATGATATATTCGCTTTTATATTGAAGGGCTTAATGATAGTAATCAGAACTAAAATCAGTAGTTTTAAACAAACTAAAAAAAAATCAATTAAAAACATGGTGATACGGATTTTTTAATCATCAAATCATATACATAAATATACAAGTATGATAGAATCTAATAAAAATGTAAGGACACATAAATCTCATTTCTAAGCCATATAATTCCCCTTTTAATACGAAATACCTAGGGCTTGTTCTTTTGAGTGAAAAATTTAAAAAAATACAACTCGAGTTACAATTTTATTCGAGTTCATGTTCTTTTAAGTTTAAACTTGAGTTTAAACTCGAGTTCAAACTCGAGTTTAGGACTAAAACTCGAGTTCAAGTTTCCCCTTCAACTTGAGTTCAGAAACTCGAACTCAAATTAATGAACAGTATTTTTTCTATTCTTAAAAATGCTATAACTTTTTCGTTTTAATTCT